TTTCGACAACCCCTCAATCCGCCATTTTTAAATTTGGAATGCTGAACTTTGTATCAAAAAGACTTACACACCTCAGCTTCTATCTTATTTGTTACTTTTTCGAATTTGCATTTTTGCTTATACAGGGTAGTCAAACACGCAAATTGTATTTTTTCCTCAAAAATTTCAAATGCATCACCCTGTATATTTGTGCAGGTTTGGATTCAATTTTTTTAATCTTTTTCTTGGTATGATGTTTGATTCAGATAAAATCAGTAGATTTTGAGTCATTAAGCTTTTAATAGAACAACATACCAAAATTAACTAGAGCAATCACAGCATCCATGAAAACAAAAGACAAGCAGTGGGCTAGCATCATATTGGCACTAAGAGTACAGATTTGACGTAAAAAATAATAACAATCAGAACAGTATAAATCAGCTTCAAGCATAATAGAGAAAAACAACTATGACAACAACATAAACAAACAAGTATCACTACTCATCACCTTTATATCTATAAACATCTTGCTTAACGTAGCCCCATAGAAAGAAGTCCATCGGTGTCATATCTGGTGATCTAGGAGGCCAAGATATAGGCCCATCATGACCGATCCAGCTATTGTTACTCCAGGTGTCCAAATAGTTACGCACACGATTATGATGCGCCATCATGTTGGAAGTACGAGTACATGTGCATCCGAGTTTACAGGTTGACATTCTCCAAAAGCAAAGGCAAATGCTCGATCAAAAAATGCAAGTATACTATACCTGTTAATCTGTTGTCGAAAAAGAAAGGCCCGATAACTTGTCTGCCAATAACTCCTCCACAAAACATTCAAGCTCCATTTATTTTGGAAACATATTTGTCTAACAGAGTAAGGGTTTTCAGTTGCATAATAGTGCAAGTTATGCCTGTTGACAACAGCTATGCTGTTAAAAGTTGCCTCATCGCTAAAAAGAACCTTATCCTTGAAAGTAGTGTCTTCACTCACTTTATTCAGCATTATTCTACTAAACTCCATTCTAGCTGCGAAATCCTGAGGACGAAGGCCTTGATGCAAGCATAGGTGGATGGTACATATGCTTGTGAATAATCCTTTGGACAGAAGTTTTGCATATATCAGTTTCTGCTCCAATTTGCCGTGCACTTAAATGGGGATTTTCCTGCAACTTTAAAGAACCGCCAACTGATTCGGCTTATTGGTGACACTTGGATTATTTATAAATTTTGTACTATATCTCACTGCTCCACTTGATTCAAAACGTTCTCGTATTGTGGAAAATCTTTCCGGCCTTGGATGTCGCATATTAGGGTACCGTAGCTTATAAATGCGAAATGCTAGGAAACTATTTCTTTGGGCTTCGCCCAAGACGAAGACCATATTCACCATTTCTTGTTTAGAAAAATTCATTTTCAAACACGTTTTTATTATAATTCTCACAAAGCTAATTTTGACAGTTTATAAGTAATCAACAATTCATTTGTTTCCAAGGATGATGCGATATTTTAGGGAATAAGCTGTTCTATAAAAGACGTGCTAATAACCGAAAAAATAGCCGTAAAACCCTTATGTGTCTAGTATCAGATGAAATATTATAAAAAATTGAATCCAAACTTGCACAAATATACTGGGTAATGCATTTGAAATTTTTCAGAAAAATTACAATTTTGCGTGTTTGACCATCCTGTATGAGCAAAAAGTAACAAATAAGATAAAAGCTGAGGTGTGTAAGTTTTTTTTGCTACGAAATTCAGCACTCCAAATTTCAAAATGGCGGATGAAGGGTTGCCGAAGTGGGGGGTTTTTCTAGACAAAACACCTTATATCTCAGTAGCTAACTACCAAAACCCCATAGTATGTTATATCAATCTTCTTCTTTGGATTAGTTAATCCAGCTATGCAATACAATTTAAGACATTCCAGTTTAAAAATTACAGCTTTGATATGTAGGTCAAAATTGAGACACCCTGTATAATTGTCAATATTTTAGAAAAGTGCCCTCAAATGTTATGTATAACATGCAATAAATAGATTTTCCCAAAATATTTCGTCCACACATGGATGGGCCACTTTCTCTCGTTGTTTCACTCGCGGCTTGAGAAAAATGATATGGGATTTGATTTTTATTCCGGTTACTTTTAGAACATGGCCATGCATTTCATATCAAACAATCAACGTTGTTTTCCTTACATCTCATGGAATTCCTATCTCCATCGTAGAGGTTATATTACATTCTAAGGATATGATATGGAAAAATGTATTACGCCACGCTAGAAGCTTATATGTCATAACCGTTATGCGAAAGTTTACGTTTAGAAAAAGTGAATGGAATCAAAAATATATCTTATGCCAATGAAAATATCGGGTTTTCCAATAGGGATTTGACAATTTTGAACTTTCACTGTGAATGAACCTTTGAATCAATTACCGAACTGTCAATGTCAAAACATTCAGTGAAGAAAACATTTTCATCTTGGTGAAGTACACGAACGAACAACGCTTACATATAAATTAAACTTCTCTACCGAAATTCCGAGTGGTGAAGTTGAAGCGCGCTAACGCCAATTTTTGGTCGCAATTTTCGTAGGCAAGCAATTCATAGCCCAGTAAAATAATTTTAGTCCACATATTCGCTGCTGGATGTTCCCGTGCCAGTAAGACAGCAGGTTAGGTCGAAGTGCCGAGAATATTGCTGTCGTTCAAGCATCCGTCACAAAGGAACAGAACACGTCGTTTCCACGGCATCCTCAAGAATTGGGCATCGCTTAGACCACACTAAGGCGAATTTCCCGAAGAGATCTTGGCCTGCACCCTTATAAGATCAAGTTAACCCAAGAACTAAAGCCGTTCGTTCATATGAATCGACGTACGTTCTCTAATTGGGCTCTAGAAATGCTGCAAGAAAATAACCAATTACATCGCAAAATCGCATTCTTGGCTAAACGGCTTCGTCAACAAACAGAATATGTATTATTGGTCAGGTGAAAACCTCATGTGTATCAAGAAACACCACTCCGTCCACAAAAAAGGACTGTATGGTGTGGTTTTCATGCCGGTGATGTTATTAGGCCCTTTTTCTTTTTTTCTTTTTTGTTGATGAAAATGACCGTCACGTTACAGTCAACGGAGATCGCTACAGAGACATGTTGCGGCATCATTTTGTTGGTCAATTGGATGTGCTAGAGATTAATGATATGTGGTTTCAACAAGATGGTGCCACAAGCCACACAGGGGGTGAAACAATCGACATATTGAAATAAAAAATCCGTGAACGTGTTATATCGAGAAACGATCCTGTCGAATAGCCGCCTAGAACTGTGATTTGACACCTCTAGACTTTTTCTTGTGGGGCTACATTAAATCATTGGTCTATGTCAACAAGCCGGTGTCGTTAGAGGAGCTCGGAGCAAATATTGAACTAAAGATAGCGGCCGTTTCTGCAGAAATATGTGGCCGATTCATTGAAAATTGGGTTCAACGAATCGATCCCTGCGTACGGTGTCTATAGTCATGCTTCCTGAGAATGGCTAACAGGCCCTAAGTAGATATGGTGCTTTAAGGATGTTGGTCCGCAGTTTGAAATATTTCATGTACCAAAATATCGCTCATTTCAGCTTTTTCGAACAAGTGCGAAGGTATTCCAAAATTAATGCCATGCTAAAAGCAATAGTATAGGTAAATAACATACATAGTTTTTAGGGAGAGCGGAAGAGCTCCTTTGGGTAAACACCCTTTTTTGAGCATCTCTGTTATTTATTGTTTATTTTTTTGGCGGGGAAGTATTACAATACAATACATTATTTTATTAGTGTTAGTGTACATACTGTACTTACACACATCAGTCTATAACAAAATGTTTATAGTGTACATAGATAATAATCTTTTAATCCACTTCGTAGATGACAAATGTTGTATATATAATAATATATAAAAAGGTAGAGTGAAATAATAAAAATAATTTAAAAAGCAATAACAGATACAGAACATATCAAAATTTAAAGTCCAAGAACTCATGGTATGAATAAAAAGTATTTTCAGCAAGGAATTGTAATCACAAAAAATTTCGAAAATGAGATATTATGTTTTTTGGATGTTATATGACATGTACATCTCGAAAAACATTTTCGTGCGTCTGTCTGTAAGACTTGAGAAGTACCGCTCGTATTTCGATGACATTTTCACACAACGTTACCATTATGCCAAGAACGCAAAAGCGTTGTCGTTTTCGAAATCGATCTAGTGACGGCAGAGGAAAAGGCCTGTAACGAAAAAAGTTAAAATCGCTCAAACTTCGTTTTTCCGGGTTTCAGAGGATCCTGATCATTTTTGAAAAAAAATCAGAGGAAAAAAATACGCACCTATTAAACATATTCCACACATCATAGATTTCTCTATACATTAGCCCTGAGCCTAGAAAAATGTTCTCCCGTTATGCGTGTTCTGCTATGGAATCACACTTATTTCTACGCTACCACGGTGCCACAGGGAAATAGTGTCTATGGACTCAGTTATGGACCTGTTTGACTGATTTTTTTCTCAGTTTATGGTGAACATATTCCTTCACATACTGACATGGATGTTGCGTGGAAAGTGCAGAGTCAACCTACTGCACGCCATTTTTTTGCCTAGGGTGAATCGTCTCGTTTTTGTTGGGGCTCATCATTTCAATTCCAGCTTTTAATTTAACAAGTCATGCAACTGATCTTGATGAAATTACGTGCTAACGTTGCAAACGGCAAAATAATTTTATTGAACCGATCGTATCATATAAGGAGTTATGTTAGTGATTTATCAGTATAACCTGTCACGGAGAGTATCTATCCCCTTTCTCCTCCTAGATACTACTTTTTAGAGGGTTGGCACTCCGATACGATCGCACCATTTGCGGTAGGTCCCAGACACACATTTCATTGATGGAAAGTTATATCCACACCGACGCCAACATTCAGGGTATATTTGGGATATGAGAGAAGAGATAACATATTATTAGTCGGCCAATGCGAGGTGATTTACAGAAATGGATAGAAGGGCAAAAAATGATATCGCCGGTGATCTTATTAGTTATTTATATGTGCGGCGTTTGTTATAGACACCGGACTTTGATAATGTTCACCGCACACCTTGCAAATATTTTCGCAAAGCTATTATTTAATTAACATGATGCTGAGTTATTGCTGCAACCTGCATCACTGCTGCCAATTTATTTTCGAGGACTTACAATAAGTATAATAAAGTCCAGGTACTGTTTCTTTTGCTGGTAAGTTTTACGTATACGAGCCCCTTCCCACTTCAGTTGAAAGTTGAAATCTTGGTTTTTCTGTTATCAAACACAAATAATAAAAAATATTAACAATGAATATTTTGATAATATATAGTAGAAAACACCAACTTTATCACTACCTAATCAAATTTGCAGCATAAAAATAACACATGTCGCAATTACACCATATCAACCTATTTTCATTTCAATGCAAAATAAGTCTATAACGCATAGGTGGCTGAGAAAAATAAAAGCCATGACAATTGTTTTTATTAATCACAGCTGTCAGAATACGTTTAAAATAGTTTTGGGTAGTTAAGGTTTTCAAAATGAGTAGAGGAAAGGTTATTAGTGACAAAATTCGGTTACTGATAATTAATTTTTTTAATTCTGGGAAATCAAACTCAGAAATTGCAACTTTGTTAGACTTATCGCGTTACAGTGTGAGAAATATTGTTAGAAGATATAAAGTAACTGGTTCAGTTAATATTAAGCCACGATATGTGAAAAAAGTAATATCACAAATGCCGACCGAAGAGCATTAAGAAGAATAATCGTGCAAAGCAGGCGTACAAATTATACTAAGTGACATATAAATCCGAACACCCAGTTTAAATAGTTTTATTTTAATAAAAGTTGGTGAATGTATTTATCTTACTGTAAATAACAAGTGAAAAAATTTTCAGCCTTATCAGTTGGACATTCCGGTTTTTATACTGCTTTTTTTTAATTCACTAACGCTCTAAAAATGAATATTTCAGCCGCAGTAAAGAATCAACGTTGGCGATTTTGGTTCTTGACATCCTTTACGATCGGTTACGATGCCTAGAGTACGGAGACCTGTACGATTTCGTCAACTCAGTGAGTTTGATAGGGGCTGTATAGTGGGACTTCGGGAAGCTGGACTTTCTTTTCGGGCAATTGCAGCTAGAGTGCAAAGAAGTGTAGACACTGTGGTTAGGTGTTGTCAGGCATGACTTCGAGAAGGCCGTACGCAAAGAGCAAGGGGCACTGGACGCCGCCGTAGAACAACAGACTGTGAAGATCGCCGCCTAAGAATATTGGCCTTAAGTGACCGTTTCTCCACTACCAGGTCCATTGCAAATGAATGGTTTGCAGAACACGGAAGACCTATTGGCATGCGAAGTGTTTACCGACGAATGAGAAGTTTTGGCTTGTTTTCATACCGGCCACACTGGGTCCTCCCTTTAACTCGAGAACACCGACGTAATCGCCTTGAGTGGTGCAGACAACGGTCACTCTGGGATCAAGAATGGAACAGTATTGTCTTTAGTGACGAGTCTCGATTTTGTTTAGGCATGCACGATGGTCGTGCCAGGGTTAGAAGGTGACGTGGTGAAAGGAGGAATCCACAGTTTTTTGTTGAAAGACATGTTCATCACACTGTTGGAGTTATGGTTTGGGGTGCTATAGCTTATGGTTCCAGGTCACCTTTAATCTTCATCAGAGGTAACATGAACGCGCAGCGTTATATCCACGAAGTTCTAGAGCCCCATCTTTTACCCTATCTTGACACCCTAGCAGATCCAACTTTCCAACAAGATAATGCCCGACCACATGTTGCAAGAGTCACAATAGACTTCTTTCAACATAATGATGTCACATTGGTACCATGGCCACCAAGATCTCCCGACTTATCCCCAATTGAGCACGTGTGGGATATGATGGGTAGGAGATTGCTTAATTTGCAACGTCCTCCTCAGACTCTAGAAGCACTTCGAGAGGAGTTGGTGGTTGCCTGGAATGAGATACCACAGGAGGACATTGACCACCTGATCAGAAGCATGCCTAGGCGCGTTGGAGAATGCGTAGCACATCAGGGTGCATCCACACATTATTATATATATACAAGTTTGTGTTGGTGATAGTCGCAGTAGAGTTATTCGCAAAAAAAAATGAAGCATTCCATGTTGACTGTCTGAAGAGAAAAGTGAAATTTCCAGCATCCATTATGGTCTGGGGCAGTATGTCATCAAAAGGAGTATAAAAACTTCATTTTATTGATGGAAATGTGGATACAAACAAATATTTGACAATTTTAGAAGAATTTTACCAGTGATGGAAGAATGTTTGACATCCGGCCAAGATTTTGTGTTTCAGCAAGATGGTGCAGCGTGCCATACCTCAAAAAGGGCTATAAAATGGATCGAAGAAAATAATGTACCACTTTTGAAATGGGTTTCTAGCAGTCCAGATCTGTCACCTATTGAATCTTTCACGAGGTGAAAAAGGTTCTACGACAACATCCTGCTCGTACAATCACCGAACTGAGACAAAAGCTTCAAGAAAAATGGCATTGTTTTACATCAAATTTTTGCCAAGACTTGGTTAACACTATGCCCCAAAGAATTTCAGCCTCAATAAAAAATAAAGGTGATGTTACCCAATGGTAATCTTTCAATTGTTGCTTTGTTAACATTTATTCGCACATTGTTTATTTGTTCAGATGTTCTATTAGTTATAGGTCTAAGTGATTTTAAATGTGTATTTTTTACGACTAGAGTGTATCTAAAATTTTTTTGAGAAAATAAATTGTTTTAGAAGTAAATAGTTACGTCATGTTTGGTTTATAAAGGCATATATCTTGGAGTGGGCCAACTGATGTGGAAAGGGGCTCGTACATAATACAGAAAAGAATTTAAACGTGCATTATCACTGTGCACCCCAAAAATTAGTTAATGGAAAAATCGAGTCCTTGGTTGTACTCCACTCATCTTTCAAAAAGTAACGGATCTACGATTTGTGTAGTTTGAAAAGTGTCGGTGATACAGCCAGAAGCTCCGTACGGCTATCTGCAATCTGCTTCTGAGATGGCATTACTGGAGGTCTAAGCTGTAAGGTGTATGTGTTGATGACAATTACATTGGGTTCTTGTCTCAAATACACTTAATTGAGATCCACAGCTATAAATTAGTTGCGCATCTACTTTTTCTTATCCATTCTGGTAATTACATATACAAAATTTGCTGAATTTCAAAGATGAGAGATAAGAAATAATTATATTCACTGTACACTGTCGAATTACAAACTATATATATGCTAACAGTAATTACACACAACGCGGGCGCGGTGATGATTTCTCGTAATTCTCCTCAGTTTTTCGTAATTGATAACTTTGAACATAACCTTTCTTCAGAAAGTTCAACATAAAAATAACCCGTCGGGCAAAGCCAATACATAACTTCATTGCAGCATATTCAGTAATGATTTTCTCACACAGCAAATATCACTGATTTTATACACATGCAGACCAATACACATAATCATCCAGATGCTATTCAACCAACTTTCTCCTCAGAGATAAAAACGACAGACAAGAACCATTTGGCCTCACAAACATATGCAACCAATAATGCGTGTAGTTTAGTTGAGTGATTCCTCCTTAGATGGACGTTCACAATCCTAGTGAGCAAACGTGGAATGACTGTTTGCGCCCTAAAAACTACCTAGATGACATCTTATAGGCTTTTTTGACGTTTTATAAGTTTTTTACATGATACCCATGCAGCTCTTGCTAGAAGTATGGACTTGGCAGGAAAGCAGCTTAGAATGAGCTACGCCATTCATCATTTTGTCGTTGATTATTTTTTTCTCTTAACTTGAATGATCAATAATAACAATTTATTGTAATTATTATAAGTCCATCGACGTGCAATTCAAATCATGTTAAAATTTGTTGAACGATTGCAATAATGTATAATCGCTTACTCTTATCCTTTTCTCTTTGGTTCCTTTTCCTTCAGGTTTGTTCAATTTCCATGTTCCCTGACAGACGTACGAACTGACAATCCAACACAAGAGCTGAAGTCCTACAAACTACTCTCATAACTAACAATGACTTGAAGGGTGTAGGCGCAAAAAATATCTTGCTTCCAATCAAACACGGAAGCTATACAGAGAATATCACAAACGAGCAATCGGTTCCAATCAGCAACACCATCCAACTTCGATTGGTAATCGTCGGGCTATCACTCCCACGCCTAATAGAAATACTTGTTTCGTTTTGTGCTTTTTAATCACTCTTTTTAACGTTCCAACTACGTCATCCTTTCGGGAGCGGTTTGGATACGAGGGTGCTATTCAATCTACAGCTAGGTAGATCTGGTACAAGATAGAAGATGCCAACTTTGTAGATATATCATATTTTGTTAAATACGCATGTTTTCATGTATATGAACGATCAATATCACATGGAAAAGGCTTGATGCTAGTCTTTTAGTACGCAGAAGGTGTCTCACGTCAGATACTCATAAGATAAGCTTGTCATTTTGAACGGCCCAGGTCACGTTATCCTTGATGTTACAAAAGCATGCTATTCTACTTGAAAACCATCATCTTGAGGCGTACCTGAAAGTCTCAGCAAGTGGTTTGCAACTTGTACTCGCTAGTTTTTCCTCTTCATCATCATATAGGCCTTTTCTAGGTAGTTATATGTACAGCTTTTTCATTGGGCGTGTGTAAACACCCTAATCTGCTGCCTCTAATGCGACATATGCAGTACTAATGTCTGTACGATTAAACTGTCGTTAGCAATGAAGTGTCGCCCTTAATAAATGATTACAAAGTAGTTTCTGGCTAAAGCGAATTAGATGGGCCCGTGGCTATAGAGAACTCTGAGTTATGTTTAATGGACCGTCCTCTATGGTTTCGTACAAAACTCAGGAAATATACTGCCACGGAAAATTAACCGGATCAACAAAATTTGGTTCAAATGAAATTTGAAATAACTTTTTAACCTTTGCAACAGTTTCGTTAATTTTTCCGTCA